GGATAGTATTAGGAAACAAAAGGTATACTATTATGTATCCAAAATCTATCTTTTATCTTACCCTAATACTGATATCCGTTAGTTTACCATTATTCTTTTCTGATATGCATATCGGGTAAATAATGGGTCAATAAAGATATATTCCATTATTTAACCTTTATTCATATATTCGACCTGTGTATATGTGTCAATATATAATTATATATATAGCATTAAATAAATAAATACAATATGTGAGATTTGTATTACAATTTAAACATTACACAAATAAAGTTTTATCATAAAAGAAATTTATACAATTTAATGAATCATTTTAATTATAAGTTTTCTCACACTAGATTTTTATTAGCTTTATATATCTGCAGTATATGAATAAACTTATCTAATAAAAATTTGAACATTAATTACTAGACATCACTAGACATTACTGGAACTTCTATCCAGTGATAAAAAAAATTAGCTAGAAGAGTCTAGTAACAACTTAGCACTAGAACTACTATATCTTCCAATTCTATCTAGTAAATTCCAGTTAATCTTCTAGTTCTAGTAATCATCACTGGACCTTCCAATTAACAACACTGCTATATATATTGCACATGCTATACACACTATATGTACTGAATATACTATATCTGGATATCATATAAATAGCACATCACTAGGTGTGACCCTGTGATTTTATAATGATGATAGCAAAAAAATTTCTGAGATTTTAATTCCCTATTGATTATAATTTTCAATCAATAGTGTCTATATTTTATTCGTCTTTTTGCAAACTGCTATTATACAGTAATAGACAATTTAGAATCTCAGCTCAGAAATTTTCCCCAATCATCATTACAAAAATCATGGGGTTACATATTTTTGTAAAGTGCTATAAATTTTTGCAAAGAATTTTTTTATATCAATTTCATCCCCTTCTCACCAAGCCCATTTTATTATAATTATTGTATATATTATTTGTATATATTATTACAGTGGGTACCACCTAAAGCCAACAAATTTTATATATAGGCACCAATTTTTTAGCTACAGTATAACTTGATTGACCACTAAAAATGCAGAAAAAGTTAATATAAATTTAAATTTTATTAATAAATTTTAAAAATTTGTTAATAAATTTAAATTTTGTTATGTTTTTTATATATAAACACCAAATTTTTAAAGTATGTATAACTTTAAATTAATATAAATCTCTAATTTTTTTTATAAATTTGATAGTTTAATCAAAAAGCTATTAAATTTATAAAAAAATTTTTTGTTTATTTTATTTTAAAAAAATTATAAAACTTTAAAAATTTTATAGTTAAAAGTTGACGGCTTTCGTGGTAGCAACTGTATTAAAAAAGTAATATATTATCTTTATACAGTAGACTTTAAAATTTTTTGACTCGCCGTTTAACGACGGATTTAACATCTAACAAAATCCGACACACGACAAGTTGGCCAACATTAAAAACTAATACCGGATAACCAGTGCTGTTAGATCATGATGTAATAATCTTTTATTATACAAATCATTGAACTATGAAAACTTTATCTCGAGTAATACGTATATCGCAAAATTGAAAATGCCTAGTTCCTCTTCATGACCATACTTCTTACGCGTGTTTCCAGATTTTCTGAATCAGAATTCGGTTCTTTTTCCGGACAAGGTTCAGGCTCTTTTTTCTGAATCAGGTTCAGACTCTTTTTCCATATCTGCTTCAGGTTCTTTTTTCCGGATCTACTTCAGGGCTCTTTTTTATGATCAGGTTCAGGCCCTTTTCATGATCAGGTTTAGGATTTTTGCGGCAGATAGACACTTTTATACGGGTAAAATGATTATCATATCATTTATTGATGACTTCTGACTCAGCACTGGAGATAGGTCTTAACAATGCTAATGTAAGAAGTACTTCGAATATAGTGGAAACTAAAGAAGGGTAAATAATTTGTTTACCGGTTAAAAAAATGAGACAAAGCATAATAGGCGGAAGGCTATACTAGTTACTATAATGTAATAAAAAGTTGCTAAAATAAGTTTGGTTTCAAATTGTACGTATTCATAATTGTAATCGGTGGGTAAACTATGAACCAAATGAAAGAAACTGACAGATGTATAGACAAAAGGTTAGAAATGTTTTGCGGTTGCGGAAATTGATATTAACTGATAAACTACAGCAAGCATAAAGAATATGGAAAATTTATCAGGTGATGAATTGTTGATAAAAACTAACATAATATAGGTCGAAAAAGAAGCAGCCGAACAATCAAGCGTACAATATCATAAAATAAAAAATTTATCTAATACATCTTTCTGAATCAAACATAGGGAATTTATGCTCAGAAATTTAAAAGTTCCAGAGTGTTTACAAGGTAATAACAAGCACCCAAAGAATAAATATTTGTGAAGTTCTTGATAGCTATTGGTTTAGCATTGTTTGTTTCTTTCTCTATGTTTAAGAAAGCATTTTCACCATCCTCAACTGTAATACTTTGAGTTCTGGAAATACATAATAGTTTTAGATTCAAAATCTCCAATAAAACGAAAAAGTGCATTTGAATAAAGTGCAATGAAGACTTCAGGATAATATAAGAAAATTTGGCTGAAGGATGGGATTTTAAGGCAAATTAACATATTGATTCATAAAAAAATCTTTAAAATGAATTGAATTACAATAATTATAGGAAAAGTTAAAGCAAACCACTTGTCAAAAACGAAGAAGGGAATTTGATACCAAAATGCACGAAATATAAATAAGGTACTAAATGGTACAATAAAATCAGGCCTACCGAGTTATCTGGCATGATGTGACGGATACATGGGTATTTAGCAGGATGATAGCAAAAGCACGTGGCCTTCGGCCACGTGCGTTGTTATCATCCTGTCGAATACCCATGTGTCCATCACATCATGCCAGATAACTAGTTTATCCGGCAGGTATGACGTATCACTGACGGAACCATATTATTGCCAAATAAACTTTTTTTAAATAATAACTGATAATTTGAATGAATATATGAGTGTCGCCAAAAGAAAACCCGACAATTTAAATATAGTCTATATTTAAATTGTCGGGTGACACTCATATATAATGATAAAATGAGTGATTTTGGTTTGATTTTTTAATTAATAAATAATAAGAACTGATAATTCGAATGATGAATATATATAAATGATAAAATGAACGATTGTGTTCTCTCTTTAATATTTCAATGTCACATAATACGTTACCAACAGACGAAGATGTTTCAAAACTTCTCAAACTCTCGCGAGTACATAATACAGATAAATGTATGGCAAAGTGGTTACGAGCAGTTGACAGATATAGAGAAGTATCCAATTACGAAAAATTATTTGAAAGCATACCCGAAGTCGTTGAGCTTGAAAACTTTCTTTGCAAATTTCTTGTATTGTAAAACGAACAGATGGAAAGGAATATAAAGCTGAAAGCATCCATAAATGTTACGCTTCTCTTGCTCGATATCTGAAAGAACATTCAACAATTAAACCGTGTAACATATGGGATTCTTACAAATTTGGAAAGGCTTTACGAACCTTGAATGGTAAAATGAAGAAGCTACAAAAAGAAGGATTAAGGGAACTCGATACTTACTGTAGATGAAATTTTTTTAGATTCGACTCTAATGACAGCAGCAGAAAATTATGCACTTGACAATGGGCCAGAACAATATGAAGAGTATTCGGGTATGGATTATTCTAGTTATTTCGCTACGCTAATGATATATTTTAACTATATTGTAATTTTTGTAGTTTCGAGTAATTCAGCATCTACCCCAACTTCAGTAAGGTCTAACTATGACAAGAAATCCACTTTCAGATCCCGTATTCTAAGATTATCAGGTCAATGACCGCCTTTATCCCTAATCAACTTTTCATGATATCAAGCAACTTCATGAATCTTCATTCGAACAAAATACATTATCATTTTCACTACCATTTTTAATATGATTTGTTTTTCTATATGTAATTTATTCTGGGCATATTAGTTTTAAAAAATATGAAATTGAGAATTTTAAAAATTTACAATTTGTATATATCACATGATTTTAATAAACATCTGCGGCAATAATATGGAATTTTTTCCGTCAGTGTATACATAGTACCTGCCGATAATATATGATACATGCCATAATGTTTAAGTGCAGAAATATTGCGTCTAATGCGTTGTCAAATTTTGCGGATGTGTAATCATACACTTCGTGATACTACATATCACTCTGTTCCTTGTATACACTTATATGCATTCGTTCCTGGTATAGTATAATTATTATTTTACATACGTAATATATAATTTCTGAATTTAATAAAAACTTAATTTGCGATAATACATATAATGTGTATGACTAGATATATAATAGTAAATCGAGTTAATAATATAATGTAGATTATAAAAATAATAAAATTTAATTTTTTCTTTTTTCAAAAACTAAGCCAGTAATAGGAGGTAATATTATATCTGAAAATTGCAATTTAGGATCAACTTTACCACTTTCAGTTCTGATATCATATTTCAAAATTAATTCATGTAACAATATTTTCATTTCATTAACAGCCAAAATTCTGCCAGGGCAGGCACGTTTACCACCTCCAAATGGCATGTAGTATTTATCAAGTTTAGTTGCTGATGCATAATTAACTACAGTTCCATCATTATTCAATGTCAAGTATCGATCGGGCTGAAAATTTTCAGAATTTTTGTATACTTGAGAATTAAAATGTGAATCTGTAGCATAAACAACAACTGCACGACCTATATAGTTGTTTAGAAAGTTTTTAAGAAAAAATAAATAATGAATGTATGATAATATTTTAAATCAACAAACATACCTTTAGGAATTGTAGGACCAGTACTAAATGTATATGAATCTTTATTCATAGTTGTCTTGACCACGACTAATAAGAGGATTTTTTAATATATTTATAAATTACATTATTATATTGAACGAGAGAATATTTACCAGGAAAAGAATGTCGAAGTGTTTCTCTTATTAAACTGTCCAATTTGACCATTCTACGAATGTCATCAATAGTCAATTTACCATTTGTTTCGTTGTAAATCATCAATTGTTCTTCATAAATATCTTTCCATATTTCGGGTCTTCCAGCATATTCTAATTTCGTTAAAAAAATAATAAATAAATAAATAAATTACTTCATATCATACAGAGATTTATCATTGAAATTAGGCTGTATTTTACCATAAAGTGCTTCTGTAACAACTTTGACAGTCGAAAAAGATGAAGCATAAAGTGCAATAAGCAATTGCTCAAATAAAAACTCCATATAATCATCATTCACAATATTAGGTGCATATTCTGGTTTGCTTAAAAAATATTCCATCAAATCATCCTAATATCAATAAAATATTCATTTTTTTAGATATTATTTTTAATCATTTCAAAAAAGTAATTACATACTTTTTTTATATACTTGTTACCAAGAATTTCTCTTTGAATCATGCGTTTTTCAACGATCGGTTTCATTAACTCAGTAAAAAGTTTCTTCGGTTTATTAAATGAATTCCTTAATAACCAACTATAGACCATAGGGTTTAATAATAAAATTTTAATAATTAATTAAATAAGTAAATAAAATCAAGATTAAAATCATTTATTGAATATATTACGCACCAAATAGCCTTTATATGAAGCGAAGGATAAATAAGTGATAGAATCGGAGGTATTAAAGGTAGAATTCCTAGTTGCTCTAATAATATCGTCATTGAATTTACTAGTTCTTCAAATTGGCATGCCTCCTTTACATATACATAATTGTCATCATGAGAATGTTATTATTATTTGCATATAATTTAACAGCAAAACTTTATAATTAAACTTACTTCTCCAAATACTATATTATATACAGGTCGTACAATTATATGTATCATTTTACTTGCAAAATTTTTGAAAACTTTTGCTTCTAGAATTCATTTAGTAATTATAAATAGGTTATAAATATAGTTAATATATAGATATTAAATGTTATATCTGAAGCTGAAGCTGAAATGGCTGATTAATGAATTTTTTGAGACTCATTTTTAAGACCCATGTTTTTTTAGTATATATTTGTGATTAGGATTGTTAATAAGGCCACAACTAGTTAACGTAATTTTGTGTATATGCTGTGAAACACTTAATAAATATCATTGATAAATTTTGTCATGTGTTGTTCGAGAGGAGGTGACGTTACCAACTAATCAACTTTAAACGGTATAAGAGCTGTTAACAGTTTATTTGAAGCCGATTTTGGCTGCATAATAGACCCAAGCCCATGAGACGTATCTTAGGGTTGTGACTTAAACTATGTGTCCCAGTGAATGTTAATATTTAATACTACTATATAGTACGTATTATCTATCACAGTTTAAGCTATGGCTCAAATTATGGATCGAGCCATGACTCAAGCTGTGGTTTCACAGCATGGTCTAACTTTCAGCATATATACGTATTACGCTAAATAATGAAAATTTAAATTACCTTTACAATCACCAACGTATACATCTATTACATATTTAAGTTCTTTCTGTATTCTAGGTACGTATACTTTGATCTTTCCACTTATCTGTTCATTAACTGCATGAGCAAGAAATTTCAAATCACTTAAGCCTTTGACTTTTTTATAGGCTAAAGGAAATAGAATTGTCTGTTATGATAAAAAAATTGAAATTGGTTCAAATTATTAAGTATTATATGAAATATTATATTCTGCCTTAAAACATACCTCTGCTAAAACTTGCTCATAATTAAAACTATCAAGATCTTTAAAAATTTCACTTGAAGTTTTATTTCCTACATAAGTTAACACATTTCCAAAGATATATATATTAAATGGATCACCATACTTTGTAGATATAAAAATTTTTATAAAAAATGTTAATATGGCAAAGAATAATAATAAAAAAAAAAAAACTTTATAAAAAATGTTCATATTTAATTACTTTTTTTCTACATTCTGCAAGAAATTTGTCAGCGTTAAATATGTAAGTAATCGTGTGTCCAATAATAGGTAAGCTATATGGAACCATTGGTGGTTCACTCTATATAGACGAACCATAAAATTAATATGTTGATAAATGTATAACAGTATTATGTAGCATATCAAGAGCCTTAGTTGATATTATATTCTTTTATTCTCTTAAAAAATAATATAAACTTACATCAACTAACGGAGATCGCTTGTTATTTAAATAAATTAAATAACCAAAGACGATGATTAAACAAAAAGCCAAGAAAAATGTCATTTCAATTTTTTCTTTAATAAATTTTAGTGAAATATGACTACCAAAAAAAAAAAAAAAAAAAAAAAAAAGGAAAAGCAAAATTCACGAATTTATATACAAAATTTGATTTTTTATGCGCGTCAAATTTCAATTAACAATAAAATTGT